AACTTACCTGACTTTGATTTCTACTCACTCTTTCTTTTAACCTGTTTCTTTTTAAGGTTAAAATGTTCTTTAGTGCCTTTCATTTTCTCTCTGTTAAGGTACTTCCACACCATAATCAACAGATCTATTGAATTTTTAATAAGTTACTTCATATGCTTATCAATTTTTATATTTATCCCCCCAGGTCTTAATCTATTTCCATCTCCATAAATGTTCCATTTACATCAAACATAGCCCAATGTTGTTTGCCATTATTTCACAATGAATAATTTAATCCAATACAATTAAAATGTGATTTTTGTACTCAGCCTGCTTTACCTACTTTGCATGTCACAAATTATTATTTCAACCCCAAAATCTTGATAATGAAGAGCTTTATACTTAAGAGATACATATTTTTACATGTGTTTTGAAAACTTTCTGCAAAACCTTTTTGTATAATCCAGTATTGTTTTGGAAGTGTATGAATGTGATTGTCAGGGTTTGGGGGCTTCTTTGACTTTTTTACTATCTAAAATTGTAAATACTGAAATAGGGGATCAGTGTTCCTTCGCTGAATTTATGTCAATAAAACTGTTTTTCACACAGTCAAAAGAGAGCTTTTTAAAATCCACTTTTATGTTTCAAATTTTAATGGTTTTCCTGATTATTTAGAAGATCCTGATCACATTAATAGTGACTTGCTTCAGGCAAGTCTCCTCCTCTTTCTTTTCCTGGTAATCTGATGGCGGGGGCGGGGAAAAACAAAAACAAAAAAGAATACAATAACAATAAAATAGTGATTTACTAGAGGACTATTATAAGTATGAATCTGCTAGTTATAAATCACATAATCTCTGACATCTCTGATTAAGGTGCAGAAGATCCTACCTTTTAGGTGGTTGAGGCTGAAAGAACTGTAAAAATTGAAAATAGCATCCCAGTTTCCTATATCATTCATGAGAGGAGTCAGGGCCTTTGGAATGGATGCTAAAGGAGAAAGCACACTCCATACATGCAGCCAACTATGAAGAAAACATTGGTCACGGTGGCAGCTGAGTTCTGAGTTTTATTTAACATGTTTGGTCTATATTCCCTTCCTGATGATTAAAACGGTGAAATCCTCTGCTGGGTGTAGACATTAAAATTTATTTAGTGTTTTAATATTTATACTGTCACCAAAAGTGGTAACATTCTCTCATACTGAAACTGTGAATTATTAATGTGTATTTAGTAGGATCTGGCAGTTCGTGCTTCTGTCATGAAGAGAATCTTAGAGAAATATCTCTGAGGAAAATTGTAATCCTACTTAAAAAGACAAATTTAAGGTAATAAGTCTCTCTAATCAAAACTGTTCTTGTGAAGTTCATCAGAATTTTAGTCTGAATTAAGGAGTGGAAGAAGGAGAAAAAATGCTTTCAGACAGATTTAGTAACGTCTTGTCCTTGTGGCACAAGGGACAGTTACTGAAGCTGCCAGTATACAGCAGCAGCAAACAACAGCAAGCTTAGGTGAAAGTTGCATCCTAGTTTCTAATAAGTCTAACTATGGAAAAAGTTTTTGAAAGATCTCACTCCAGTCTAAGAAAGCCATGTAATGCAGATACATTTTGATTAGTAAGTGTTGTGATAACATTAGTAATTCACTTTGACAAAGAAGACATGACCCAAGACCCATGTTTTTTCTGGCTCTACAGAGGTTTTGTGGCAGCCCTGACCAACACGCTCAGTCCTGCATGCAGATGATAAATCTTCTGTGCCTTCTCAGGACACCCAACAGCCTGATCAGCATAGCAGGAAATGTGCTTTGGAAACATTAATTCTAAAGCACTACGTCTCACTCCTGGACAAATTCGTATGAAGGTTAGCACAGGCCACTTGCAAGCCCTTCTACTTTAAAGTGAATATTAGCCACAGAAGCTATATCTATACTAACAAATTAAACATGTATGGGACTGTTTGTTGACACTACAGCCAGATTGCAAGGAGCAGAACACATTCATTCTATGAAACTCTTTATCCCCCTAAAAGAGGGTGCTCACATGCAACAGCTCATTACAAATGCTCCTTTGTCCATGGTAACTCTCAAGCTATGTGAAGAACTGTTTGGGAGAGTGCTACACTGTCCATTTGGCTCAAAATCCATAGTAGTGATCATTCTAAAATAAATTAAGAATATAAATTATGGTGTTCCACCATCTGGCAATGCTCTGTGATATTTACTCCTAGTGAAGCGTGGACTGCAAATTTGAGTTTAGCCAAGAATATGGAACCAAACCCACTTAAGAAAAACTGAGTGATGATATTGTCCTGCAAACAGGCATTACTATCTTCCTGGATTTATCTCTGCCCAATGACATATGATTGTCTCTTCTGAAGCAGAAACACAAAATAATTCTATCTTCTCAATTTTCCTGAAAAGAATGACATGAACTCAGACTCTGCCATGGAAAACAGGAAGCGCAGGAGAGGGAACCCTCTGTGGTAGAAGAGCCCAGGCTTCTTTTCCTCATTTTTTTCATTAGATTTCCTGAGATATGGTGCTATCTATCAATCTCTGAGAATATAATCGCTTCAAACCCTGTTAGCTTGCCCTTTTGCCATTCAATGCATTCTCCAAGGAAAACAAACTTGCAATGAAAGTAGCATGTGAAGTACTATAAAAGAGAAGAAGTTTGAAGGTGATCACAGAGCACCAGAGTAGCTTTTTTTTTAAAGTTGCCTCTGCGTCAGTAATATCCATGGGGTTTGTACAAACGTGTCTAGAAACACACACTGCTAAAATGGAGACATTTATGATGCCAGCATAAAAGCTGAACAAAACCTTAAGTCTCCACAGATGTTCAGTGTAGTAGTAGTAATGGGAATCTGGTTTTCTTGGTTTTACTTGCTTTTATATTAAGTGGAACCATGGTTAAGTTCTATAGTACCTGCTGTAGAAAAACTAGAATGATGAAGACTAATACTCCAATGTCAGAAACTGTAATTTCATTGTAATGATTTTTTTACTTCCATTTTTTATTATTTACAGGTTTTAGTTGGCTAAAGAACCTACTTGAAACATTTCAACACTTTATAAGCATGACCATGTTTACAGACAATAAATGAATAACTGAATATGAATAACATGATAAACACATAAATTATATTCCTATATCACTTAAACTGGAATTGTCTCTCTACTGGGACATCCTCTGTTAATACAGATTGAGAATGGAGGATCTATAAGTCTTTCAAGACAGTTTGGAGAGCTGGATTATAAGAAAAAAAAAAAAGTATCTATGTAGTATTTTCTGTGCTTTTACACAACAGTGTCAGGAAGGCATTATTTTAGGTTTTACTGCTTTGTGTACTGATTCCTTATCTGTAACTACTGCTGTGTGGCTGAGAAGAGAAATATGGTTAAAGATGAGTGAATGAGAAGAATATCAGCAAAGTAAAATGGTAGAAGAAATTAAAAGAAAAGGACCTTAAAATTACAGAAAACTATATGGCATAAACCCTGTAATTTTCTATTCAAACAGTATAATAAAAACTTTGGATAAGTCACAAGGAAGAGTTGTCCTGGCTCTAACAGGCTTACTTCTCAGAAAAGAACTACCTTGGTGCTTGCTGTTTTTCAGGCTCAAGGCCTGAAGTAATATGAAGTTACAAGAAAAAGAAAAAAAAAAAGAATAATTTTGCATGTCACAAGTGAGATTTTTCATCTCTTTCAAAGCCTGACTGTGATCTAAGAGCATTATTTGTATTATACCATCAGTGCCATGTCTTCACAGAGTGACTAATTTTTCCCGTTATTTTTCTCCATACATAACCACTACTAAAGAGTCCATGTTTGCACACACTTGGTAGTTAAAGGACATACCACAGGAGTGGGACATGTTGCATTTGGGATGTTCTACTCCTTGATGAAGACTTCAGACATTGCAGCCAATGTTGCAGTAAAAGAACTACTTTTGCTTTTCTGTTCTAGATTGTTAGCAGAGAGGGGGTTTTTTTAGACTATAAATTTGATTTCTTATTTTTGAAGTCTCTGATGTAAAAAGTTTCTGAATTTTATTGAGCTGTTCCATCTGTAATCTGCCTCCCTAAGCAAAGTATAGTGCACCTGTGACATACAAATCTAAGAAATACACTATGTATGTCAGTACAACGTTTTCCCAATGGGAAACACTTTTTAAAAATATGGTTTTTAATACTTCTTTTTGATACTAGTCTACCTCTGCCTAGATGAAACTTCAGAAAAGACCAAATTATCTTTTACATAATTTTGACCCCAAAAATCCCCAAACCAACAGGACATCACTTCAGATGAATGTAAAAAGACAAATTTTTTTAATCTCTTTTCCCTCTCCTTTTCCTTTCTTCATGTTTTAGATTGAGAAATGCTAGGTATCTGGAAAACTGCTTTTCACTGTTTTTAAAACAGCGAGACCACATATATTAATTCTGAATGAATTCAGAATTAAAAATTTAATGCAGTGTACAATAAAGACCTTATTCAATTTGCTACTCATAGCTTTAACTTTCTAAACATATTTCAGTACCTTTTCCCATTTATTACAGTTAAGACAAACTGAAGAAATTTGGAAAAAGTTAAACAAAAGTTTTCAGAATGGTATTGCGTATTTTAAGGACTAATCTCAATGATATCTTACATTTCAGCCACTGTTAGTTACATCAACATATTTGAAAGCAACAAAATTGATCACTATTCCCTTATCTCTTCAGTTATAAAAAGGGATGTTTTACTGGTTAAATGTGATATTAAAGTAAAGCTATAAATCCTATATAGCATTATGGAGAAATAAAATAGTTTCCTAGCCAAAATCAGTTTACTTCCAATTTTGCCATGCCTTCTAGTTTAGCTCTGTCACTATTGACACCAGGACTTCTAATATTGACTTCAAAGGGAAAAAGTATGATGCCTTTCTGCAAGAGGGTCACATGCAGTTTCTAGTTGCAGTGTTATGCTCTAGTGTCTGACAAGGTGATAATTTATTTTATACTTTCTCATCATACCTTGAAAATTTTGCACATTATCTCATAAACTGAAAATGTTTTCTCAGCTCGTGTCCAATCCCAGGTTGTGACCTTGGAAAAAAACAAACAAACAAAACAAACAGGAAAATAAAGTTATTTTTGTTTATTTTAATAACTCAGTTTATTAAAAAAATAAAAATCTATCCCTAAACCAAGCACTGCCTTAGAGCAATAACAGCAGGGACCAGACTGTTCCATCCAGGCAGCGCTTAGGAGATGTCCTGCCAGTCTCCTTGTGTTTACAACAGAGTGCCTTCGCATGCAGGCTGCTCCACGCTGAATGATGAGCTTTCCCCCGGGAACTTCTGGGGGTTGCACTGACATCCGGAGACGATGTAGCTCTCGAATTCCTCTCACAGAGCTTTGACTATAAGAAGGCATGTTTCCTACCACTTCCCTCCTTGCAACTGCATGACACAATTTGCTCCCAGTCGCCTACACTGTTTGCAAATCCACAAAACCAACGTCTCCGACCTTGTAATGTCCCAGACACTTACCCCACATGCCTTGAAATACAGGGGGAAAAAACTACAAGAAACAACAGAGGCACATACAGATTTTCTTTCTTCTTACCAAGATTAATCTGCTCCTAAATTCTAACAAAGATTTGAATAATAGTCTATTTCTTCTCTTTGTCTTAGCATTTGACAACCGGTTTTAACAGTATTAATTATAAGCATCTATTTCACACAAAAAAATGCATAGATAAGAGAGTTCAATAAAATCATGCAAGGGTAAGGGTTAAGGCTTAAATAAGACTGAAAGAGATAGATGAATATATTGGTAAGGGAAGAGTCAAGGCAATATCAGACCAATCTATAAATAACTTTCCAAGAAAACTGTGAGAAGGAAAGAGGAGAAGTATTCACAGTCTGAAAAGACAGAAGAATACACAAAATAGAATGAAAATTGAGGCTGTATATGAAAACAAAAATAATCTTAATGGTAAAATGTTTTGAACAGTGTCCCAGACCCAAAGGAAGATAGCTGTATCTTTACAATTGTTAGAGAAGATGAAGAGGTTGATGAAAACAGAAATTTTGTTTTCAAGATTCAAGAACATAAAGTTATTTGAAAAATATATCATAAAATTGTATTTGCAGCATATGAAGAAAATATTATAGGAGACCCATTTATCTTTTATCTAAAGAGAAAACAATCATTAATAAACACAAAATGTCTGAGAAGCATCTATGGGTATGGATGCCTTGGTAGACGCCTTTCTTGATCAAAATTAATTTGGTGTTGTATGAGAAAATTCTATCCCTAACTAATTTTTAGTTACAAGCACTACTGTAATTGAAAATCCTTTGAGGAAATCACAGTCAGGAATCAAAACTTCAAAAACAGTATCACAGTTCATCTTCTATTAGAAATTTATTTATATTCAGTCACCCTCAAACTCAGTTTTCACTATCTTATTGAAGTATAGGTAGTAAATCAGATTTCTAAGGAAAGGAATGACTAAATACTGAGACAACAAATTGTTTGATAAGGAATGAGGAAGAGAAAAATATTGGAAATATACAATCTTTATGTCTGAGTTTTAAGAAGCTATTCAGAGATGTGATGAACAACATGTAAAATGTTTTTGTCAGGGAAAAACTAATGGGAAAAAAAAAAAAACAAAAAAAAACAACAAACAATAAAACTGCTCTTTCTACTGCAGACAAAAAATTAACTTTCTTACCATGAACAGAGAAATGAGGGGAGAAATCTTGCTACAGGTCCACTGAGCCCAAAACACCAGCCACACAAGCTGGTCATATTGCCCCATGAGGAAAAGTAGTTACTATTGCTGCTGAAGCACAAAGACGTTTGGAGCTGTGTTTAAAAACTTAGTTTAGGCTCCATGCTTTGTTAAAAAATATCAGAGCTCCGCCTTCTCCCCTAGTTTTATGCTTTTGTTTGTATTTATGAAGAGACTTCTTTTCAGTTCAAAACAAAACTCTTTCTATATTAAGATATGTGCAAAGCAAAAGCAAATGTAGAATTAAGACACGCATAGAAATTGCTTGCCCTGTTCACTTTTAATATTTCAACTTAAAAGCTTGAATAGCAAGAGAAAAGGTGTCAGCAGATCTTTCTCAGTTAAAGTCCATTCTCTCTGAGACTTCCAACTACGAGCTGTAAGAGAGGGAACCTCACCAGACTTGCCATACTTAATAATTCTAAAGGAGAAAATGTGCCAGGAAATAACAGAAAAAGAAAAAAAAATGTTTAAAGCTTTCAAAATGCAAATAAAATACATTAGAGTTGCTCATTTATCTGAGCATGGAAAGTAAAAGTGCTATTGATCAAACATACAAAAGAAAGAGGCAGAGGGAGGCTGCTGACATACACTGTTTAAACACATGCTTCCCTGATGTGTTAGATTGTGGAAAAGACCAGGGAAATACTTCCATTTGATTTTCTGGTTAAGAAGTTGGCAGCACATCACTGTTCAGAAAACAACTTAATCCAGGGAGTTTACACTGTAAATGTAATTAAAACTGGTTTTCTTCTTATAACTACACTTTGCACATCTCATAAGTAGAAGCTCTGAAATTGCAGCATTGAACGTTTGTTCTTAGTCTTTCATAACCCCTGGAATAGATGAATGCATATACCTGCAGAATAGCAAAATAACTGGATGTGTAAAAGTTTGAATATAGAAAATAGGATTTTAGAAGTCCTTTTAAAAGCTCTACTGCCGCCCTTGATAAAAAGATAATTTTGTTGGGTATATAGGTGTGCAGTTATTACACACATTACATGGTTTTAATGTAGCTCTATAGGAACGCTTCCTCTGTTTGTCCTTTAAGAAGCATGTTTGTCTTTCTGCTTCCCTCCTACTCCATGGAGAGAAAATATTTTTCTCCCTGTTTGATCTATCTTTCTATTTTAGAATAAGAAACAGAATCTGGCAAGACAAAATCATGTTATGCTTGCAGCTCAGCTGAAACGAGACCTAAAAAGACTTCAAGGATCAGTTGCTTGTCTCGTACGGCAGCAGCTTGCCAAAACTGCCCTAACTCACATCACTGTGTTTCACAGCCCTATTACAAACATGTTCCTCCCACACCCATTAATCTTCACCCATTACCCATTTACCCACCAGTAGCATATTACTCCTGCAAACATATGATTGAATCCTCAGTGAAGAGGTTTGTAGTTCCTTTCATAGTGCTTACAAAAGCACAATCTTCCTCTTCCACAACGAACGGGAGCTCTTAACATTGTTTCTGCTTCTATCTAGTGTCTAGAATGGAAGTGGCTTTACTTGACAAGCAGCAAATGCTCAGGTGGGTCTGTCAAAGCCAGGAAAGCTGCTCTTGAATTAAGGTGCTTGACAGCATAATCTGACATTTTAATCCGATCCTGAAAAATATCCACCAACAAAAGTCAAACTTCCATTACTACCCATGAGAGAGCCAAACTCCCATACCAGTGAACTAGCATACCAACATTGAACACACAGAGTTTTCAGTTCACACTTACTTTCATTCTTCATGTCTTTCACATGCTCTTAAACACTTTGCTAAACAAACGTGAATAGTGACTGATGCACAGATTTGCAAGCTGGCTTTGAACTACCTCAGGAACAGGCTGTCTGGAGAGCATACCCCATCCCTGGAAACATTTAAACTCAGGTTGGATGGGGCTCTGAGCAACCTGATTTAGTTGAAGACGTCCCTCCTCATTGCAGGGGGGTTGGACTTGATGACATTTAAAAGTCCCTTCCAACCCAAACCTTTCCATCATTCTATGATTCAGGTAGGAAGGCGCTAAAGTCTGGATCTGGCAACACAGGGTTTAGCAGCAGTCAGGAAGGTCACTCACTAAACAGAACAATTGGATCCACAAAACCCTCCCTGATGCCAGTATGGAACTGCTAGTGGCTCCTCAGCTACTGGCTTAAAAGTTAGCTAGAGGATATCTCTGTTTATTGTAGTTTAAATGTACCATAAAACCATGAAAGGAAATTGCTGAGTATGAGACAACAGCTAAAATTTTGCTCAATGTTGCCAGACAGATTCCAATTAATATATTTAAACTAAACAGTTCAATTTGCTTCCCTACGTTCCTTCTGGTGGTCCCAAACTGCATAAAAGTTACATTCCGGATGAAATCTAAATACAGAACTATTGCCAGTTTCACAGCATGTAAAAAGCCTTGATATTTCCCCAAATGTCAGCAGTTTGACTAGAATGATAGTTGAGTTTAAATCTAACCATCTTGCTTCGGGCTTGTTCTGTCTTCTAAAGGAAAATAAAAAGCCCCCTTTTAGCAAAAGTAGATTTCTCTTGTATTTTTGTAAGTGCTCAGGTAAGTGGGGGAAAATAAATTCTTGTTACATGCCCAACCATCTGATGAACAGCTATTTTCTATAACTTCTATACAAAATACTCTGGAACTTTTCAGTGCTGTAAATTGCAATCCTGTTAGCCCAATCAGTGACATCTCATTGTGAAAGCTTGGTACATATTACATTAAATTATTTAATTTAATAACATTTATTCTCACTAAGCATGAGAAATATACTTACTGGAGGTGCTATAAATTTATACAGGGAAGATCCCCTCAGTGCTAGAAACTTTGGTGTGTACATTCGATCCTGAAGGGAGTCTTGTTCCCGTTCTTCTGTCCAGCCCATGTAGACTATCTGACAGAAAAATCAATAGTGTTGACAACTTCCACAGACACTTCAAATGAATCGCAAATATTTCATGCAAGTAAGATGATGCCTGTCATATTTTACATAGCTACAAACCTTGAACTACTGGGATAATATGGTGTATTGGAAGTTTATTTAAAATCACGTAGCTGTATAAAAGATGCCTGTTATGGCAATCCAAAAACATCAGAACAAATATTTATTGTACTAGCAACAACAAAAAAGCTAAACCACATACTCAGTGGATGTTAAAGGTCTACTAGCTCATTAAAAGCTCCCTGAAGTAATTCTATACACTTGCCAACAGATCATGTCAGAGACATATTATGAAAGTGAAATGTAAGGAACTATCAGGCAGGAATAAAAAAATCAAGTAACTGTTGTTACACTGCAATGTTAATATAGTCTCCCCATACAAATTCACAGTTATGCATTAAACAATATGAACTTACAAATTTTATTTCCAAATAATGACAAGCTTTCTTTTTTTCCCTCTGAAAATCCCTATGTAGGTGTTTTGAACATCCTTGCTTAGAAATAGAAAATTACACAGACTGTTTTCAGACACTATTCTGAACAGACTTCGTCTAAAACTAAGAAGTAACCAGAATGCTGTCAACTCTTACCATTACTTGATCTTCTGACATAGATGTATGAACTAGAACTTACTCAAACCCATTTTAGGATCTAATTCCCTACCTATCCATCTATTAAATTTGAGTAATTTAATATCAAATCCTTAAAGAGTAACAGAGTATGAGTCACCACTACACTGACTTCTGGAGAACATCTGCAGAGTGAGTAGACACATGATGCAGCTTTTGATTAATAACCATGCCATGAGTAATAAAATACAATTTCCAGTATGCACCGGTACACTAATGCTATGGAAAATAGATCAACCCATATTTCATACAGTGCTGCTAATGGAATAGATCTATTTTTAAATCTCTTTGTGGTACTGATTTCTACATTAACTACGCATGGGGCATTCTCTGTCTTAAATGTCAGTAATGAACAAGGAAAGCAGTTTACAAAAAAACCCTAGTCATATTAATAGTCAATGAGTTAGTGTCTAGGGTTTGAGTGAGTGGTGGGGTTTTTAGTAGCAGGGGAGGGGGCTACAGTGGCCCTTGTGAGAAGCTTCTCAAAGGTCTCCTGGCTCCAAGTCAGACCCACCTCTGCACCAAGGCCAAGCCAATTAGCTGAGCCTCTGTGATAACGCATTTAATAAGGGACCTGGGAGGACAAGGTAGAGTTATGTGGAGGAGTTGCAACACCTCTGTGAACACCAAGGTCAGTGGAATAACAGAGGAGGAAAGGGGGTAGGTGCGCTGGAGCTGAGACCCTCCCTGTACCCTGTGGTGAGACAGCAAGGCGGCCCCCCTGCCACCCATGGAGGTCTACAGTGGAGCAGGTACCAGCATGCCGTCTCAGGTGACTACACCCAAAGGAGGCCAGGACGCTCTGGGGGAAGAAGCAGCACCCGCTGTTGTAATTCGGCGCAGGGAGGATTGCAACCTGTGGGGGTGTTCCACACTGGAGCAGCTCAGGAAGGGCTGTACCCCATGGGAAGTACTCAAGTTGGAGAAAGTTGGTGTCCCACACAAGAGCAGCTAGGGAAACGCTGCAGCCCATGGGAGGGACTCAAGTTGGAGAAAGTTTGTGGAGGACTGTCTCCTGTGAGAGGGGGACCACGCTGGAGCAGGGGGAAGAAGTTCCAGAACTTCTCCCCACCTAAGAAGGAAAAAGCAGCGGCACTAACTGCAACCCCATTCCCTGCCCCTGAGCCGCTGGGGGAGGAGGTAGAGATATCGGGAGCAGAGCTGAGCCTGGGGAGAAGGGAGGGGTGGGGGGAAGGTGTTCTCAAGATGTGGCAATGCTTCTCATTGTTCTACTCTGTTAAGTGTTGTTGTGTCTGTAATAAATGTATCTTCTTTTTTTCTTCCCCTAACGAGTCTGTCTTTTGTCCATGACTGTAATGCGTGATTCATCCCTCTGTCCTTATCACAAATACCAAGCCTTTGTTTATTTTCTGCTTCTCAGCGCTGGGAGCAAGGGAGGAGTGAGAGGCTGTGTGGTGCTCCATTGCCCTCTGAGATCAACCAGGACAGTTAGTAAGTTTACCAATGGTATAAATTTACCTAAAATGAATGTTTGTACTGCATTTTTTATCCTTCAAGATTCTGTGTGTCACATATTTAAAGAAAAAAAAATTATTTACACAAGTCTATTTCATTACCGTTGGGAAGAGGAATTTCAGCAACAGTTCATGGACTATACATTAAAATAAATGGGGGATGATGTCTGTTTTTTTGTTTTGGTTTAAATTTGGTCTTGTTTTTTAATTCTTTTTCTGTTGGATTGTATTGTAACACACTGAAAATTAATGACTTCTTCAAATCCCCATGTATGAAATCTACAATATTGCTCTCCATCACAGTTTATTAGATATTTTATGGTCTATAAACAGAGACAGGGAGAAGGTCCATTTCTCTAACACTTATAGTGAGACATCAACATTTAAATATTTTGCCAATAGCAAACACTAATGCTGTAATATAGTCTTGGGTCTAATGAATAACATGTGTTTAAGTATCTCCTGGTTTGGTGATTAAACAAGTTTATAAAACTCAAAAAGGAGACAGAGCTTTACCACAGTACTCAAGAATCAAGCAGAGTTATCAACACTATACTGTCATGCAATAACTAAAAAGGAACGTTCTCTGAAATCTCATTCATTCCTGAATGAAGAAATAGTCAGGAAAAAAAACAAAAACAAAAACAAAAAACAGGCAGATACAGGAAGGGAAGTTTTAAATTATTTCATTTCAATGTTTATTCAGATTTCCCTAATTTCTGCTGTTTTCTATGTTATTCAATGCAGGATAAGCATGGATCCACATCCCTCTGACTTGGTAGGAATCTATAGAGCTCGGTGACTGAGAGGGGCTACACAGAAGAGTAAAATTAGTGTAAAAAATTGTACTACTGTGTGCAGAAGTTTGGTGTGTTTTCCTCTCTGTAACTGAAAGAACATGAATGATCTCTAATTTATATAAATTGATACATCTATGCTTTCAAATTAATTAAACTGAAGTGATTTGGTTCTATCCTGACTTGTTTCATTAAAATCAGACACACAGTACAATATCATCTTGCCTGATGATATTTAATATCACTGTAGCACTGTATGCAATCTGTTTTCTGTTAGCATTTTTCACATTCTTCATTTCTACTTCTATTCATCAGAATAACAGGATACAGTCACTCATGATGAGTAGATGTATTGATATTTCACATCTGATTGCCTTAGTATTAAAGCAGCCATGGAATTTAAGGCAATTGCTCTTTCAGACATTTCTCCCTTCCCTCTGTAGATCATGAGGAGAAATTAGATTGATTTTTCAGACAACCTGATGTACCAAGTTTTTATTAACAAAAAGGCATTTCTCTTTCAGACTTATTACCTACTATTAAACATACAGAAGAACTGGTAAGCAAAGGCTGTATGATTATAATTGGGAACACTTACGAAGTTGTCTGAGTGCATGTGCATAGTCAAATGTGGGGACTGAAATAGCATGCACTAAATTCTGGAAAACAGGTCAAAACTGAAGAAAGAGTTGATAAATATTTTACTTAAGTGTTCCTAAAGTGGTCTCAGTTTATCTAAACACACTGAATATGTGAAGTTAGATAAAACATAGTAACTTTCACTTACTAAAGCTGAGAAACTTGAAAATTTTTCATTTATGAGGTAAGAGGTCATGTTCTTGAGACATTTATGTTACTGGTAAACATTCTGACTTCTAAAAAAGCTTTGACTATGAAAAACTGCAAGAAAATTAATTATATGGAAAGGGATCTTTAACTTCCAAACTAATAGTTCATGTGTATATAAGTATTTAAATAGTGGATAAATATGAAATTTGACTTGTGAGTTTTGGAACATATCTCAATGCTGTACATGTGGACTTGGCCCAAAATATGGAATTTCACGAGATTCCATATGGACAGAGATGTTTACAACAACAGACACATGATGAATGGAAATAAATGTGAATCACAAACTGACAGTGCATATCAAGCCCCTTTATAAAGTTAAAAACTAGGTTAGTTTTTTAATCTTAGAAAAGTTTGTCTAAGTTGTTATAAACCACTGATCATTATCAACAAACGTCATGGTGGTAGGGAAAACAGATGCTATTTGCGTTAACATTCCACTTAAAAGATAATTTTTGAAGTATTGGTTTCTAATGCATCTGAAGTAGCTCATTCTTCAAAATCAAATGGCGACACAAATTAGTTAACTTAGTAGATGCTGGTTCAGTAACAAAGATTCAATAAGTTATTATGGTTTATGAGTTAAATCATCTACAATTTAACAAATCTATATCTAAGTGATAAATAAAACAGGACACTGTTTTCAATCAAAAATCCATAATCTCCTGATTTAGTACGTACTTAAATCACACAGACAACCTAATCGAGCAAGATAAATTGCCATAAATTACCATGTTTCATATCAGTCCAACATATTGTTAAAATGACTTTAAAAGCCTTGATTTTCAGAAAGACTTCTCCAGAGTTTTTACACAAATTTTACTATATTTTAGGAAGAATAGTAAGATAAAAATACAAGAAAATTTCCCCAAATGAAATGTAAACTGTATGTGACATTAAATGAGTGAGGTGATTCAAAGATCAGAACAGATGAAATGACAGCTTTTTATCTTGGAATTCTCACATTCATACTCATACTATGTGAAACAGTGCTGTAGGGCAACAGGATAAACATGGAGTCAGAAGACAAATGAGTATGTCAGACAAAACAGGGCAAAAATTATGAGGGATGAGGAACTTAGATAATGCTCTCTACCCTATCTACCTCATATCATTTTCTCTGTATGGTAGTCTCAAATTTCGTTATAGTCAATTGTTAGAAGAAAAACAATAAAACCACACTAAAATGGAATATAAAGTAA